CCAACATGGCGGAAACATTGTTTGTAGTAATATTATAACATAACGGGTTTTTTCGTACGTTTGATATTTTCGATTTTTTCATCACAACGATAATAAAATTTGGCTAAATTAAGTTTATTAAAAATTTAATATTAATTATTGTAAATAACAAATAATGTCAAGTAATAACAATAGAACAAATTGTACCACCAGAGGCGTGCTGCTGTTCGCACAGTCGCGCTTCGAGGAGTCAGTCAAGAGCTACCAAGCGGCCTTGGCTAGCCGCCCTTGGCTGGCCCAGGCGCACCTTGGCTTGGCGTCTGCCTTGACTAGGCTTGGCAGGACTGATGAAGCCACAAGGGTGAGAATTAATTATATCTAAAATTTATTATTTTTACTATCTCAAATTTTCAATTGAACGAAGTTTTCACAAAAAATTATTTTAATTCCGAAGCTTTTTCTTTGTTGCATGTTTTTTTACATACCACTCCATTGTATATAATAAAGTAAAATCTATACTAGCTAAAGTAAGAAAAACTTGAGATTCTTTATCGAATGATTTTTTGCCATTCTCGGCATTACATGCAGCTGTAAATGATATAGTATTTGTATAAATACACCTGCATTTTATCATCACAGTTATTTAGCTCAGCATTGGAAGTTATCATTTCAATCTTTTTAGCTTCTTGATTTTTTCACTTCTACTACTGCGGTATTGAAAGGTTATCACGCCCATAACCGCAGCAATGATAGCTTATCACCACAGCACTGATAGCTTATCACCGCAGCACTGATAGCTTATCACCGCAGCACTGATAGCTTATCACCGCAGCACTGATAGCTTATCACCGCAGCACTGATAGCTTATCACCGCAGCACTGATAGCTTATCACCGCAGCACTGATAGCTTATCACCGCAGCACTGATAGCTTATCACCGCAGCACTGATAGCTTATCACCGCAGCACTGATAGCTTATCACCGCAGCACTGATAGCTTATCACCGCAGCACTGATAGCTTATCACCGCAGCACTGATAGCTTATCACCGCAGCACTGATAGCTTATCACCGCAGCACTGATAGCTTATCACCGCAGCACTGATAGCTTATCACCGCAGCACTGATAGCTTATCACCGCAGCACTGATAGCTTATCACCGCAGCACTGATAGCTTATCACCGCAGCACTGATAGCTTATCACCGCAGCACTGATAGCTTATCACCGCAGCACTGATAGCTTATCACCGCAGCACTGATAGCTTATCACCGCAGCACTGATAGCTTATCACCGCAGCACTGATAGCTTATCACCGCAGCACTGATAGCTTATCACCGCAGCACTGATAGCTTATCACCGCAGCACTGATAGCTTATCACCGCAGCACTGATAGCTTATCACCGCAGCACTGATAGCTTATCACCGCAGCACTGATAGCTTATCACCGCAGCACTGATAGCTTATCACCGCAGCACTGATAGCTTATCACCGCAGCACTGATAGCTTATCACCGCAGCACTGATAGCTTATCACCGCAGCACTGATAGCTTATCACCGCAGCACTGATAGCTTATCACCGCAGCACTGATAGCTTATCACCGCAGCACTGATAGCTTATCACCGCAGCACTGATAGCTTATCACCGCAGCACTGATAGCTTATCACCGCAGCACTGATAGCTTATCACCGCAGCACTGATAGCTTATCACCGCAGCACTGATAGCTTATCACCGCAGCACTGATAGCTTATCACCGCAGCACTGATAGCTTATCACCGCAGCACTGATAGCTTATCACCGCAGCACTGATAGCTTATCACCGCAGCACTGATAGCCTGTCTCTTATACACATCTAGATGTGTATAAGAGACAGCCCCTCTGCCCCCCCTCCCCTCTGCCCCCTCTGCCCTCTCATAAGGGGGTGCTGAGAGTATATTGATACCCTCAGCAATACCCACTACTTGAATCGCTAAATGTATCACCACCTCATTACCCCAAGCAATATCCATAGCAATCCATATCAATTCATTTATTCCATTATTTGTGCTATACAACGTAAAATTTTAAAAATTCCAGCCTACAGTAAAGTTTTAGAATTTTTTTTTTTAATACGTTCGTACGTTGATGTATTTCCCTTTACACTGAACGCGACGTTAACATTTATCTTCTATTTATCTTTACACTGAACGCGACGTTAACATTAATCTTTTATTTTCCTCTACACTGAACGCGACATTAACATTTAATTTCTATTTTCCTTTACACTGAACGCGACGTTAACATTTATCTTCTATTTTCCTCTACACTGAATGCGACATTAACATTTATCTTCTATTTTCTTTACACTGAACGCGACATTAACAGTTATCTTCTATTTTCCTCTACACTGAACGCGACGTTAACATTTATCTTCTATTTTCTTTACAATGAACGCGACATTAATATTTATCTTCTATTTTCCTCTACACTGAACGCGACGTTTACTTTTATCTTCTATTTCCCTCTACACTGAACGCGACTTTAACATTTATCTTCTATTTCCCTCTACACTGAACGCGACGTTAACATTTATCTTCCATGTTAATTTATCTTCCATGTTAATTTATCTTCTATGTTAACTTTTATCTTCTACTTGAAATTGTATTTTCTGCAGAGGCTGCTCAGCTGCAGCTAGCTGCTGCCGCTGCTCACGCTCCCCTCGGCTACCCTGAGCACGTGCTGCTCACGCTCATGAGCGAGGCTCACGTGCTCGCTGGTGAGCACGCGGAGGCCAGGGCGGTGCTCACCAGAGTGCTGCGTGAGCACCCAGAGCACGTGCCTGCTCTGCTCGCCTACTCGCGCCTCGTCAGGAGCAATGTGAGGCTTGCGCTCAGTTTGTTGCAGGATGACAATTATTTTATAATGTATGCCAAATCTTAACAATTATGCTCTAAAATTAACGTCTAGGCTAAAAAATAAGCATATAGGCAGAAAAATTACCATCTAGGCTAAAAATTAACAATTATACAAGAAAATTAATCAGTATGCTACCTGTTGTTTCAATAATTAACAATTTTGTTTCTTAACAAAGAAGATAAAAAAATTGCATCAATTAATTTAAAATTTGTCTTTGACTTAGATCACTGAAAACAAAATGCTAATTTTATAGTAAATATATCGCTACGTTGCTTGCTCTTGTTATTCGCATTAGTGTGTTCAAAAGAATTTAGTTACGTCAAAATGAACCATTTTTCTAATCTTTCCATTTGATTCTTATCGTATTAATTATCCTTTGTGTCGTGTTGTCCTTTGAGTAGTAGTAATACTTTTCTCGTACCGCGAAATATTTATATATTATTGACTATTAATTTGCGAGAAGCAGTAGCAAAATTCCATTTGCTTCATTTATTATTTTAATGTGCCGCGCCCGCTACCGAAGAAAAGCCTAGACAACGACCTTTTAGAATTTTATTTCTTGTATTTTAATGCAAAAAAGTCATTATTTATTGTCTATTGTAATTAATTTTTTTAATGCGGTGCTCTGCGACGAAGATTTCACGTCGGTCTTAAAGCTTACAGCGTCTATTGCGTCACTGTAATATAAAATATATGCGTTTTCTACTTCATTTCTACAAACACTTGGTGACTTAGCCCTCCTCCGCTACAGGATATTTCATGTTATGAAACAAATATTATTGATCGAGAACTGCGCTTTTATTCATTGAATATGTATAAAATGAATTCATTAAATATTATGGGGAATTTAAAAGAAAATTTTTGGCTCATTATTGCGGGTGATATGTCAGTAGGAATGATTATGACTTATTTCTGCATGTAATAATTAGGTATGGTTGCTGTAACTTAGTATCGCTATTATAACTCAGTATTGCTGGCTGTAACTTAGTATTGCAGGCTATAACTTAGTATTGTTGTTATAACTTAGTATTGCTGTCTATAACTTGATATTGCTGTTATTATTAGTATTGATATTATAACTTAGTGTTGTAACTTAGTATTACTGCTATAACTTAGTGTTTCAACTTAGTATTGTTGTTCTAACTTAGTGTTAATTGTAACTTAGTATTGCTGTTATAACTCAGTATTGCTGTTGTAACTCAGTATTTCTGTTATAACTCAGTATTTCTGTTATAACTCTCTGCTGATAGTTTTTACACCCGTGGAAGACATAATAACTGTAGTTCAATTTACTTATCCCAAAACTATCACATACTACCAAGACAAACCATTAGAACAAATTCAAATTTATTAATTCTATTCGAGTTACCCTTCATCGATATGAAGAATATTCATAGTGATTACATTGCTTGTGATATGCCCTTTGCCGAGTTTCAAGAACTGTGTAATGAAACGTATAAAGTGCCTTATAGTTTTGTGTTGATCAATAAAGATGAGCATCCCAGTTCTGGAAAGTATTTCAAAAATTTAAATCAATTATATATTCCACAGAAGTATTTTTCAGGCAATCGCTCTAGGTTAAGTCCTGAGTTTTCGGTTAAAGAATGCTCAATCGGGGTAAATGATCGTTAACTCATGAATCGGGAGTAATTGGTTAATTTTGTTGGATAAGATTCATGATCGTTACCCTGTTAAGCTGCTTTTGCAAATTCGGGGGTAATTGTTCGTAATAATATTGAAGAAGGTTTTATTCGGGAGTAATTGGTTAATTTTGTTGGGTAATATTCGGGGTAAATGATTGGTAAACTATAATTCAAGCTGTTTATGGAAAATGGCGCCATGCGCTCGGTCATGTAACTACTTATAGTCGTGTCACTCCACTTCGCTACGCTTTGTTAGTTCTGAAAATCGCCGATTTAGGGGGAATGGCGCTGCGATCGATTACAGGAACCACTTCGAAAATTAATTTGTTTATAATAGTGATAAATACGCCTGGAAACGTGCAACAAATTATTGATTATTGTATTGTCATCGGGAGCTGAGCTTCCCTAAAAGTTTCAGAGCGCTAGCTAGCGGGAAAGTTGGTGAAAATCGATTGCAAGATTTGATCATCACAAACAGACGGACACGAAAGCGAGCTAAGAAAAACGTGGTAATAATAAAATAAAAAAAGGGGATTAACAGCGGAATATTTGGGGTTGTAGGAGGAGGGGGCAGACTTAGCCCCACAACGGGGATTATTTAGGGCTGGTAGGGGCTGACTTAGCCCCATTAAGCCCGCTCTAAAGACAGCGCTAAACTTCATTATGAAATGAAAGACTCCTCCGGGCGGACTGCTGCTGCGACACTCAGCTCTGTCCTTTAAATGGAGCGATTACACTTTGCTTTATAAATGAGATATATGTAATTATTGATAGTTATCTGACATGTACTTTCTGATATTCTTAGTTTGAGTTTGAAGCCTATAGTGCTTCCAATATAAAAGGGCTGTTGTGTAGCGGATCCAGGATACTTATCGTGTAGGTGTTATACCTGAACCTGGACATTTCTTTATATTGATGTCATCACGAGACGTTTCCAGCTGGGAAAGTGGTTGCATTACAAATTTCCTAAATTTCTTGCACACACTGAAAAATGAGTTTTAAAAAATTTATGTTTTTAAGTTGGATTTAAGAGGCCCTTCCTTTATTTTGTTTAAATATTTGAAACTTGACTTAGGATAAAGGGATTCTGAAATACGCTATTCCATCTGTAAGTATTTTAATGCTTTTAGGATTTTATTTCGGGCAACTCGGAGTTAAGCTTCTAACTTGAATAAGAATGACACCAGTTGATATCGTAGGCGAAACAAGTTTCTTGTGACCAAGATATATCCAAATATTGTGCCTATTATTTCATTCTTAGTTCTCTTCATTCTTTATCAAATAATAGCTTATGATTTTAAAGCAATACCTACTTCTCACAACCGTATTATAAACCTTATTATAAACCGTATTATAAACAGTATTATAAATAGTATTATAAACTGTATTATATACCTTATTATAAACCGTATTATAAACAGTATTATAAACTGTATTATATACCTTATTATAAACCGTATTATAAACCGTATTATAAACCGTATTATAAACCTTATTATAAACTGTATCATAAACCTTATTATAGACCGTATTATAGACCGTATTATAAACCGTAGTTTAAACCGTATTATAAACTGTAATATAAACCGTATTATAAACCATATAATAAACCCAAATTGAGAGTCGCTGGCGTCTTGAAGTTGAAGGAGGCCCGGCGGCTTCTAACTTCACTTCTAAAAAATCACGCTGAATTTACGGAACAAAATAAGATGCAAGATGCAAGACTTCCTTTGCGAAAGAAAAATCCTGTAAAAGGCTGAGCCTTGGGTTCGAGTTAGTTAATTAAACTTAGGATTTTTGGCCAAGTTAGAGTAAAGCAATTGAGTTCTTTAAGGTGGAGTTCCTAGAGTTCCCAGTCAAGTGGACGCGCATTGTTCTCATGAACTCCGGTGTTGTTTTCGGCTAATTTGTTTGGGCGAAGATTAATTGCATGCAAATTGAAATAAGAATTCATGCGCTGTTTCCTGTGTACTGAAAATTAATGTTTAGTTTTTAGTGTCTTGAATTTCAGCGGAATTTGGCTTTCAATGATTATTATTTTGTAGGTTTAAGTTGATTGCGGGTCAATAAACTTACCAGGTCAATTTAAAAAGAAATTTTGTAGTGTTTTCACTGATCTTTCTGTGAATGAATTTCTTCTTCTGTTGGAGCTATACGCCATTGCAATATGCTTTGATGACAGTGACTTCTTATCAATAAGCTGCGCGCTCGCTGTAACAAAACAATTGACCACAGAACCGATCCCATTTTTACCAATCACTAACTGCTTTTTCTATATTTTTCGTTTTCTAAATATGAATTTTGTGATGACCTTGTTACGATTCATGAATGTGACAATGCATATTGCTCGTAATTCAACCTATTCATGCTGATTTCGATCGCTAAATATGCGAAACTTATAACTTTTACACGAATATGGGAACTCCAGTCATTTCAAGGTAGCTCGTGAATATTACCCGATATAATATTTCCCGCCTTATGTATATAATTTCCCGATCATGAGCACATAAGGCAATTAAGTCTTGAAGCGGATATGTGAGAGAACGTAGACTTTCGTCAGATAGTCTACGGAGATGGTCTGTGAACGTAGACTTTTGTTCAGAAAGTCGAGCGCACATTTTGATTCGGACGCATATTAATTCTCAGCTCGTGTCTCTGCTATATAGTGACGTCACTCACATTACATTACATTACTACAGCAACACGTCACTCACATTACTCACGCGTTGCTGTAAATGTTACAGTAACGTTACTCACGTAAACGTTTAAGTGACGTCACTCGCGTAAACGTTATAGTAACGTTACTCACGCAAACGTTACAGTGACGTCACCCACGTAAACGTTACAGTAACGTTACTCACGTAAACGTTACAGTGACGTTACTCACGTAAACGTTACAGTGACGTTACTCACGTAAACGTTACAGTGACGTTACTCACGTAAACGTTACAGTGACGTTATTCACGTAAACGTTATAGTAACGTTACTCACATGAACGTTTGGCCGCAGCTCTGGCAAACCTTGGCGTGATCTACAGCGAGACTGGGCGGCAGGCGGACGCTGAGGACGCGTACAGAAAAGCCCTTATGCACAGCCCACACATGGCGGACACACACTACAACCTGTGAGTACTGAACCAACATGGCGGACACACACTACAACCTGTGAGTACTGAACCAACATGGCGGACACACACTACAACCTGTGAGTACTGAACCAACATGGCGGACACACACTACAACCTGTCTCTTATACACATCTAGATGTGTATAAGAGACAGCGTAAACGTTACAGTGACGTTACTCACGTAAACGTTACAGCTGTCTCTTATACACATCTAGATGTGTATAAGAGACAGCCTCATGGTTAACACGTGAGCACCTCATGGTTAACACGTGAGCACCTCGTGGTTAACACGCGAGCACCTCATGGTTAACACGTGAGCACCTCATGGTTAACACGTGAGCACCTCGTGGTTAACATGTGAGCACCTCATGGTTAACACGTGAGCACCTCATGGTTAACATGTGAGCACCTCTTGCATGATATGTGAGCACCTCTTTTATTTAATACGTGAGCACCTAATTAATTTTAATTAATACTTGTTAATACGTGAGCACCTCATTATCGCGCATATTTTTTCCCCGTCTCATTGATTTATAAAAATAAAAATATTCCTTCAGGGAACCTAACATAAAATCATAAACGATATTAAAATTCCTGAGAAGATGCGCAACCATTTTTTTATAAATATGAGTGTACTCAAACGTTGTAGTAAGTCAATTTATTCACAATAATACGACATCCTTTTGGGTACATAAGTGGGTCGATACGCCTAAGGCAGAATAAATAAACTGCTGTCATGTATGTCACGGAAGTGGGTCTCAATGACCCATTTCCAGTAGATGAAACCCACTGAGGTAAAGAAGTACTCCTTAATAAAATCTATCGTTGCTACTTTAGTCGTAGTTCGTTTTTTGACGAACAGACATCACAATCTGATAATTGTTCATCCGACTGTTAAAACTGCGAACTCTTTAAATACGAAGTGAATTCATTAGCGAAAATTTAATGATAGCTAACACTAATGATTGCATCAATAAATTATAATTACCGAATGAAAATATTATTTATTCACGAAGAAATTACATTTGTATTTCAATGATTCTGTTTTTCGTAGACGTTCTCAAGTAGCGTCAATGTCACCTAAGTCGCTACAGCACATATGAAAAGATCTAATCTAATAGAAACGATCTATTTTATTAACAAAATTAATCTACAGCTTTCTAGCGAGATCGGAACAGCTTTGTAGGTATTATGTGATAATATGAACTTAAAAACCGTAGTTTTGCCAGCTTTATACCGTATTTATTGAGTGACAGGCTGAGTGCAGTGTCTACTGAGTGGCGTTTCGTAGGTCTTGACAGTACACTTGGAGAAAGCAGTGGGACATTGTCCGAATATCGATGTATTTTTGCCTTTGTATGGGCTATCTTCACCCAATTTGACACGATATAAGGGCGTATCAGTGCCGCATGCAGAAAGTGTGTCATTATTTGGACAATAATATTCGTATATTTCCGAGGGTAATAACGCAGCTCATTACCCCCTCAGGCCAGCTGCTGCTGGAGCAGTGAGGGTAATAACGCAGCTCATTACCCCCTCAGGCCAGCTGCTGCTGCAGCAGTGAGGGTAATAACGCTTTACCCCCTCAGGTCAGCTGCTGCTGCAGCAGTGAGGGTAATAACGCAGCTCATTACCCCCTCAGGTCAGCTGCTGCTGGAGCAGAACCGTGTGGCGGAGGCCGTGGCGGTGTGGCTGAAGGCAGCCACGCTCGACCCCAGCGACGCCACGACGGCTTTCAACACCGCCACCGCCTTGCGCCTGGCGGGCGATAACGCCAACGCCGAGGCGTTCTACAGGCGAGCCGTGCTTCTGAATCCCAAGGTGAGAATAGAACAGGCGAACGGGGCTTCTAAACCCATAATAAACATCAGGACAATATTAATTGCTGGAAAATTGATATAATTCATCAGATATTTTGCAATAATAAATAAATAACAGGACAATATTAGATGCTGAAATATTGACATAATTCATGAGATATTTTACACCTCCGCATGTCTCGTAATTAACGTCTTACATGTCCGCAATTGAGGACGTGACCAGCCTCCGGAACCTGGGGGCGATGCTGCACCTGACGGGGCAGCTGCAGGAGGCTAGGCAGCTCTACGAACGTGCCCTCAGTCTCGCACCTCACGACCCTCACACACTCACTAATCTCGCCAGACTCTCTGCCCTCACACGACCTCCTCCGCCCCTCTGAGTGCGTATATCAAGCATTATATCAGGCCATAATTATATAATTTCAGGTTAGAGTGTAGCCATATTTATTAGCGGTTTATGTGGAAAATAACCTCCACGTAAAATTTCAATGATATTATTTCGCTCGTTTTTTGTATATGGTAAAAAATTTAGCTGGGAACACGTATTGATACTTTTTTGGGTCGCGGGACTGGAACTCCAGCACGCTATTTACGTTTCAAAATGTGTGCCCGTTCATATCTGTAATTATCAACATACTTAATATTCCGACGCAGCTTGCCGCACGTTATTTTGCCTTGACAGTAAATTGTATGTTGGATATTTTCTCTGCAACGATGCAGCATTTCTTTGAAACTAAATTGCTTTCTTTATTGAGATTTTTACCTCCAATTGTCAAAAAGTTGAGCTGCAAGAAACATGGTCAGATATTATTAACTCTCTGTCAGAACTTTCAGCCTCTTCGAAATTCTCACCGTAACCAAGACCGTTCAGTACAGGCATCCCCGTAAACAGGTCTAACTGGACCGTCAATAGCAAACTCAAATCACTTACATGACCGCTGTTTACGGTGGATGGTTCAGCCGAGCATGGCGGTTGTTTCGAACTTTTCTCGCACTCATCCGCGGATGTTTCGGAAAGTAGGACATTCCTGCCCCTATATGGCCTTGTGCCTGCGCTGGTGCGACCGTTGGGAGCAGGCATGTTGACCAGCGGCTGGCTTCTGGACTGCGGTGATTTCTGTCTGGGCATGGACATTTAATAAATTGACATATAAAAAACTGTATGACTTCTTTTTGTTTTCTTTAGGGTTTTTGATTTCATAAATGATCTTTTATAGGGTTGAAAACTATTTTTACCAAAAGAAAGACTTCTCAAACATTTTGCTCGCTAAACTCTATAATAATGCAGCGACACGATAGTTAAACACCAAACTGATGAATTAAATAATTACTACAGTCTTCTTCTTCCAAGTTTTGATATCGCAAGAAATTACTCACATTCGATGAGTTATTGTTAAGAAATTAACATTGTTAACAAATTTTGAAACCATTTATTTTGAAAAACATCAGTTATCCGTCGTTCACATGGTCTGTTCACTATGTTGATTTATGTCGTCCTGGTATAGCTGTTTGAAGAGACAATTTACTTAAAGTTAATGTTAAATTATTTGCCTTTTTTACATTTTTATAGCTTCGGCACAAGTTTTTTTTCACTCCATAAATTTTTTTCACTGATTTTTTATCGACCTTACAAAATATACGCATTATAGTATGTATGCTTTAGTTCTCACTCTAATACGAATTGATGGATAAGCCAAAACGAATGGACGAAATTATGTGTTTATAGAACAAAACTAATAAATATAACGCAACGCAAACAAATAATTAACAAAATAGATGAAATTGAACATAAACTGATACCCTCATCATGTATAAATACCCACATACTCAAGTGAGTTGCAGTGGCCTCGCCTTTATTCTCCGCTGGTGAAGGTAAGAAAAGCTGGAGTTTGAAGGATCGATTAACCGTTATCGGGTGATTAAAGATCATCTCGGCCAGCGATGGATGGTGCCTTAAACTTCTCTCTTTTTCTATTGGAAAAAATTCTCCAGAACTTCTTCTCTTTATCTTGCCAATAATGAAACGAAGTGCAACCTTCTAAAATTGTCTGTCTCGTACAAAATATACGTGTATGACAGATGGTTATATATTTCCCGTTCAATTGCTGCCTCTACGCTGCCTAAACTTTTTTCGTATATTTCATTTTTTCGTTCTCTCAGCTATTTCATTTTAATCGGTTTTCTTAGGTCTGTTAATTAAGATATTTTTTTCACAATTCCTCTCATTTTTGCTTTATCGGTCATTCTTTATAATTTTTTCTTTCTCTCTACAATATTTTTTCTCCGCGGTCTCAGTTGTATATATTCACAGCGCCAAAAATCGGCGTAGGCTTCCATCACATCTTCAAAAATTTCCACAAATCCAACCTAAAAAGTTTGAACCTCAACGGAATCTCAACATCGGAGCCTCCTTCTTTCCTCTCCCTTCAGTAAATCCTTTGAATGGGAACCGCGGCTAAATAAAAGAGCAGCCACTGCAGCGCCTTCTGCCCCTTCAAAGGAACAGTCCGAACACGTACCATTCCTTCTGCCCCTTCAAAAGAACAGTCCGAACACGTGCCATTCCTTCTGCCCCTTCAAAGGAACAGTCCGAACACGTGCCATTCCTTCTGCTCCCTTCAAAGGAACAGTCCGAATGAACGCGTGCCATTCCTTCAGAGGAACAGTCCGAACACGTGCCATTCCTTCAGAGGAACAGTCCGAACACGTGCCATTCCTTCAGAGGAACAGTCAGAACACGTGCCATTCCTTCAGAAGAACTGTCCGAACACGTGCCATTCCTTCAGAAGAACAGTCCGAACACGTGCCATTCCTTCTGCTCCCTTCAAAGGAACATTCAGACTACGAGTGACTTCCATGCGCAGATAGAAGCCAAAAGTTTCGTTGAGAAGAACACAAAAATCTTCTATTCGTCAGCCTAAAGCAAGCTTTGAATGCTCGCGGCATTTCTTCGGGCATAAGCCCAAGCTGTGCATTTCAATGCAGAAGTAAACGCTCCCTGCATATCCGAGCAAACACTGGCACAAATGACAAAGTTTGTTCAGTGGCAATTTTTATATTCTCACTTACATCGGCGATTGGCGTAATTTCAATGCTGGTACAATCACAAAATCAAACAGTCATGACATTTCGAAGTACATTATATATTGCATCATTTCATAAGCAGTTATAAACGCGTCATCCTGTCCAGGATAGAAACGCTGCATCATATCTACAAGGCATGTTTCTAGGGTAAGAACCATTCTTAAATTACGCCACAGCAGAGCTACGGCGAGCGCATGTGCGTCGTGTAGCTACATATGTTGTGAAGCCACAGACGCCATCACGGAAATGGGCTAAGGCCTTCAAACAACGCTGCACAAGCATTCATGAAGAATGAAGTGGGAGACTTTCTGTCATTATCGATGATCTGATTGAATAAGTGGTTTTGTAAAGTGAAAGAGAACGGACGATGCACGATTTCCTTCTTGGCTGAAAAGTTTCCTTATGTCTCAATCAGGGTTCTTTACGAAATTGTCCAGCCAGGTTGTCTAATCAGGCGACAAACTTCTTTAACGATAGCATAAGAAAGCTTGTCCCAATAAACAATGAATGTATCGATAATAATGGGAATTATACAGAAAAATAGAATAAAGTATGAACTTTCAATTGAATAAATAATTTGTGGAAAATTCTTCCTTATTTTTTAATGTAAAGAAAGTTATTACTTGAAAAAAATGCCTCGTATTAAACGGCTAGCAAAAATGCTACAATTCTCATCATTTCACATGACATTATATTTTGCACATAATTCGTTTTTTACATGCAGTTAATTGCATAAACGCTAAGTCGCAGCATTTCCCAGGACATTATAAACGCTGCATAATTTTACCGAAAACATAGTTCTTTCCATTGAGAAATATTGCCCAGGGAATCTTCAAAGGCTCCCGAACAAAGGCTTTATCCTTGCCTGATCCTTTTAGGGACTCTGTGTCACGTATTTATAGCAGCTTGCACAAAAGTCTCAACTGCTTGTATTGCTCGTCTTGCCTTTATTCAAGCTTCATATTTCTCTTAAATAAAATAAAAATTTCTCAAGCTTCAGAAGCAGTCGTATTTTCCAAGCGTTATCCTCTTATTCTCTTCTTCTATATCTTCTGCCGGTCGTCGGGCGGTTTTAGCTTATTCTTGTTTTGTGCGTAATGTTATTGTTGTGCGTTTTCCGATGTGATGTTCGGTTTTCTAATATGCTTTGTATGGAGTTCCGTATAAATACGTCGTTTTATGTAAACGTGCAAGTGTTATTTGTATAATGAACGTTCATTCTTTTTCTCTGTAAACGCATTCGAACTGTAACATTCAGTACAAAAAACTACAAACTTAGATGCAAGCTCTCTTATCTATTGTTTTTCTCTATAATTATTTTTCAAAACCCAATCCCGTTTATTTTCCACACTTGCTTCTTATAGCGTAATAATTTCTTCCACCCTTGCTTCTTATAGCGTAATAATTTCTTCCACCCTTGCTTCTTATAGCGTAATAATTTCATCTGCTAACGATTCAGTCTTGCGGTGCGCCGAACGAATTCGAATAGGGAAGCTGGGCGCCGTTAAGGGGAGCGTCTAGGGTAAAATTTATCTCGGCTATTTACAAACGGATCACTCTGAAACTTGGTACACATATGTAAAATAGAATTCTAAGACATTTTTGTTCGTGTGAATTTTTCAAAAAAATGAAAGAAAACGTGAAATTCTTAGAAAACGGCCAAAAAAGGGGGTACCGTAGAAATCTATCTCCTCCTAGGATTTTCAAGCTACAACATTGAGACACATTTCATTCGATGCGTAAAGACCATATCTAAAACGCAACTTGAGGGTTTTTAGGATTTCTCATTTTTGTGGGTGTGGGAGCATTTTTCGTAAATTTGTCGAAAATTTTTCGATTTTCCCCCCCGCCACCCCTTCTTTTGCGGAATAAAATCCAAACTATAACGAAACTAGAAAAACGCCCGTGTTACGCTCTAGATAATTTTGTTGCGCATCTAATGGTATATGTCTCATTGTTGTAGCTTAATTAAAAACTCTAGGAGGAGATAGGTTTGCAGTGACAATAAGTTAACTTTTCAGTAGAGCCCGTCAAAGTCCCGCGCGCATCGGAATAGGCACTCAATGTAGCAAGGATACAAACGTTACTGGAGCTTGATTCCAGTCAAGGATGGTGGGAGCGACTGCATGCACACATCCTCATACGACGCCAGGCGGGTAACTAAGGTGCACTTCAAGCAGGCACTCTATTTAAAGTACTCGCAGTGAATTTCCTCCCATTCTATTTGTTAAGGAACTACCCCACCCCCCTCCCTTTCATGATCTGTCGTGAACGCATAAATCAACGTACAGAGATGGTTTTGGTACCGTTCGATAGATCAGAATGTCAGCTTTAAGATGAGACTAAAAACCGGAAAAGCCGAAATCCAAAATTTTACCCTAGACGCTCCCCTTAACCGTTTAGGGACGACTAGTCAACCGCAACATTAAAAAGAGTATTGGAAATTAGGCCTTAATTAGGCTTTTGAGGCTAGTCTCCCGGGGACTGGTCTGTCGTGGGCTTGTCTGCTTGAGGCTGGTCTGCCAGAAGCAAACTACCGGAGCTTCTTCTGCATGAGGCTGGTGGTCTGCAGGCCGCAGACACAAGAGGTGTCTATATCACTTCACACTACATTTTATTCACACTATTTATTTCCTGCGGCAGCCTCAAACTGCTGTGCAGGTTTAGTCAATACAGCGAAAAATTTTTCAAACTCTTGAAACTCTGAAGTGAAGAATAAAATCCGGAAAAATATTCAGAATAATCGTTCAGTTTTCCAGACGCGCGAAATTTGTCTTTAATAAATTCGATGCCGTAGCGTCCTGTGAACCGCCGTACTTTTCGTCTGGATCTGAGTCCACATTCTTGGGACGGATAGTTCGAGGTTTCGTAAGAATATTGGTTGATAATAAAGCGATATGTCTAACTCACCTATGACTATTATTATGATGATCTTTTGCTACGCTGCTAATTAAGGTCAAGGTACACAAGCCTAATAGTACGGACCAATACAATGAACACTACTCTGTTTTCAAATTAATTAATAAAAAGCTTTATTTAAGACGACTTGGTGTTTTTGTTCGACTTGATTAATTATGATCGAATTCGCTTTATTTAAGTGAAACACCAGCTCAATTGCACAGATTTTGGTGTTCATTTTGCTCAACATAATTAATTTTTTAACATGCAAAATTTGATATGTTTAGGTTCATAATGGTAGAAATAAACCCAGACTAGCCTCACATATTGAAATAACGGTGATTTATGTCAAAATAATAATACCGGCAGCACTAGCTTACTGACACAGCAGTGACATGTGTCATCAGAATAGGTCAACAGAATGTATTAACAGTTTATATTAACTGATTTTATCCCCCGAATATTTCAATAAAATAGCGTCAATTTTGTAAGTCAGATCAGCGATCCACGTTTGTCCATTACGCCGCCATGTTTAATTTATTTTCTGTGTTAACAAATATTTAATCAAATTCACAATACGATAACACAATTATTAATTTTTTGCCGTCATTTTTTAGATCAATTATTCACGCGGACATCAGATCTGTTGCCGGTGGCAATTAATTAGTCTAAATTATTCAGCGGGTTCGTGTCGCGTTACCAGTTAGACTAATTGCATTCAATGGCGGCCATCATTTAATTAGGCGTGCCTGTAACATCGTTACCTCGTGATGGTAACAGGGCAGGTATTCATAATTAGTTAGGGAGTGTAGCATGAGTGAGGGAGTGTAGCATGAGTGAGGGAGTGTAACATGAGTGAGGGAGTGTAGCATGAGTGAGGGAGTGTAGCATGAGTGAGGGAGTGTAGCATGAGTGAGGGAGTGTAGCATGAGTGAGGGAGTGTAGCATGAGTGCGGGAGTGTAGCATGAATTCATGAGTAATTAATACGTAATGACGCGTATAAAATTGTGTCAGCATAATTTCTTACTTTCATCACATGGCGCCGAATATTATAATTTATTTATATTAAGAACTGCATCAGTTCTCGCTACCGACACCCATGGATTCTCGGACGATCGCAGCCTCTTAATGGCCAGACGCTATTAGCTGTAATATATATTATATATCACATTATACAGTATATTCTGTAATATATTTTATATCGCATGGTAAATTCGCATGATTTCGATTTGCCATACTTGTCTCTAATCGAATTTAACTTATTTCTTATTATCATTATGAATATTGGATCTCTTCGTCATTTTTAACTTGCGTTTTTTTCCTTAGTTTTCGGTGTTTTGCTCGCTTTCACACTGTTGCATAATTTCATTAATATAAAATTTCGCCTTCGAAGTTCTGCTTTGCGAGACGTTGCTATTAAATCATGGTATAGTATATAAATAATTATCGATGCTGCTTTCATGTAGACTAGTCAAACGTTTTGAAGTCTTCATGCTTCCTATTAAAGTTTTTTTTTTTTTTGTTATAATTTAAACCCTAACGTCACTACCGGTACACCATTTATTTCAAACTTTATTTTCGTTGAAAAATTTTCAAGCATTCTCATGTTTTTCGGTAGCACGTCATGGGTCATTTATCTTATCCCTCTTCCCCTTCCTTATCTTCACATTCCCCCACAACCCCAAGTAGCCCCTCATCCCCAAGCCTCCCTCACTCCACTTGTACCGCAACAACTTTGATCCCTAACCATCCGTTATATTAATTTGTTTAATCCGTTTTTCTCTGCAATAAATCAACCAGTAATGGCTGTAAAATTACATTTTTATTTTTACGATACCGCGAAACTTCTGCCTCCAACTCGAGAATTTTCCCTATACCTCAGCAATCCCTCCTTACGCTTCCTTCCCCCGTGGCCCCACTCTCCCTCCTCCTCTGCGACAGCATCTGTCAATCACAGCACCCGAGGGGGTAATTAACGCGCCCCACGGGGGGAGATATCGCCGTCGAGGGGGGGGGGAGGAAGATCGGGGGGGACCGGAACAGATCGCTCTGTTAAATGGTGCCACGACAAGCGCCTGCCATTCAACCTTAATTGCTTTCTACGTTAATCATTTTTTCTTATCTCTCCATATGTTGTAGCTCATTTTACATTACTTTATTTTTTCAGTCACCGTTTGTGCATTGATACTTTCCCGCTGTACGCTCGTACGCAGAACACTACTAAGAAATGAGCGAGACTGTGTCCGAATAGCAATGTACTTCTTGTCCTGTGTATGACCCAGTTTGCCCCAGGTAAATTGGCGCATGATTATTACATGCACAAACTGCGTCACTATTTGGAAAACATAACCCATCCATTTGTTTGAGTACACGCCAATATATTTTGATTGACCTTTACCCAGGGTCCCATTTTCGCGTTTTTCCCTCGCTAATAATGTGCACGATAACGATTATAGGCGTGTTTTCGACGGCCCACCAATATCCTATCAACAACCTCTCTAAAGCCCGCGCCCGTCGCGAGCTTTACGAAGACCGTAGCCTGCGTTTCAATGTCGGTGATTATGCAGTTTTATATCTAACTTACATTTTGATTAAAAATGTGATCATTATTGATTAACCTAATCACACTATTACTATAAACATGAACTGACAGAGCGCTTCCGGCAGCTGAGCGAGATTGGAAAGTAACAGGCAGTAAAGTATCGCCGCAGGCAGTACAGTAACGCCGCAGGTAGTACAGTATCGCCGCAGGCAGTACAGTAACGCCGCAGGCAGTACAGTAACGCCGCAGGCAGTACAGTAACGCCCCAGGCAGTATAGTAACGCAGCAGGCAGTACAGTTACGCAGCAGGCAGTACAGTAACGCCGCAGGCAGTACAGTAACACCGCAGGCAGTACAGTTACGCCGCAGGCAGGACAGTAACACCGCAGGCAGTACAGTAACGCCGCAGGCAGTACAGTAACGGCAGTACAGTAACGCAGCATGCAGAACAGTAACGCCGCAGGCAGTACAGTAACGCAGCATGCAGTACAGTAACACCGCAGGCAGTACAGTAACGCCTCAGACAGTACAGTAACACCGCAGGCAGTACAGTAACACCGCAGGCAGTACAGTAACGCAGCATGCAGTACAGTAACGCTGCATTCAGTACAGTAACGCAGCAGGCAGTACAGTAACGCCGCAGGCAGTACAGTAACGCTGCATGCAGTACAGTAACGCCACAGGCAGTACAGTAACGCTGCATGCAGTACAGTAATGCCTCATCAATATTATCATCATCAATTTAAAAGTGAAATTGAGGCTAATATTTTTTTTTATTTTCTTGCGCAATTCAAGCGTTTTGATTAACTCTTTAAAGTAAAGGTTATTTAATCGTATTAAGTAATTTTTTAAATTTCGGTCCCTAATCACTATTCGTTTTCTCCAACAGGCCAATCATCGCTTCCGTGATATCCACAATCAAGACCAGCGTTCCCGGAGTTCATGGAGTTCATCTGCAAAATCGAATGTAAAAAAAGTTCATAGTTGAAAAGGCGTAATGAAATTTAGGATCACGATACATAAATTCTACAGACTTTTTATATAATCTATAAAATCCTATTACAACATAGCCAAAAATATGTCATAGTTATGAATAAAGATCGGCATTCATATTCACACTAAATAGCGTATTGCTATCGGCAGGATATTTGGCAACGGTTGGACCGTGTCCTATTGAAATTTTATTATGTCCGTAAAGTTTCACTTCTTATTTCTTTGTCGTTTGCCAGGGCAGAAATGAGGCCTTCAAGGAATATTTCTACAAACTGTTATCTGTTTTCATTCCGCGTTTACATTCCATTTACCATACGTACATTCCAAAGAACTAATATTTGAATCAAACGACAATTCTTTACGACTTCCATCAGTACCTCATCCCGTAGATTAGCAAAATTATTCAAATCTTGCTATGATTAAGAGGCCTTCGCCAGTATAATATTGTAATTAATTTTATTTGAATCTGTTACTTATCCAGCGAAGTTGGGAACTTCTTAGTTTAATGTACGTGGCTCAATAATATCATAAACTTAATTCATACCTCTATTATAGTTTATTTAGAGTAATTACTAAAAAATTGTATTTCTGTTGATGCTGTTGTTGTGCTGTTATTATTATTGTTGTTGTTGATTGGTGACATAATTATTTTGTGAGTTGTATGAAATGTCCGCCAGACTGCGAGGCATTAAATGTCCGCCAGACTGCGAGACATTAAATGTCCGCCAGACTGCGTGGCATTAAATGTCCGCCAGACTGCGAGGCATTAAATGTCCGCCAGACTGCGAGGCATTAAATGTCCGCCAGACTGCGAGGCATTAAACTGGGTTAGCAAGTTACATTAGGCAGCATAAAATTTGCGACAAAATTAAATTTCGTTCTCAAACAATGCATATATTGCAAAAACTACGCAGTTAGATACATAGGAAGCGTTTCTGCTCAACCGCGGTAATGCTCACAGTATTATTGTATCAGCCTACCGTGGTCTTATTGGACTTGAAAATGTACTCTACGTATTTACTGAGAGATGCTGAGTCATTCTAATTTCTAATGTCGAACCTCTAGGAAGAGAAAACCGGGGAAAAACTACGATCATCGAGCATTTAACATTGAACATGATTTTTTCGTGTGGTGCTTGCTCCAGTGATACTTACTCAGTAGACGATGATAAGTATCCTAACTTTAACTTTACTGCTTAATAACTCCAGTTGTCGAGATCAACTTCGCCGAAATGATCTTTTTCAAAGACGAAGAGGTTTCGTTACGTTGTATAAGATAGGCGAGTCTCTTGTACTAAACTGGGGCTCCTTGGGTGAAGCTCTGTGCTGTTCGTCTGTGTGTCGTCCTCGGTAAATGTTGTGTACTCTTCCCGTGTTTCTTATTATCCACTTTCACGCCTGTTTCCTTTCTGATTTTTTCATTTCATACTTACTATTACTATTCTCTCAAATCCTTATCTTATTTTCTTCCTGCCCTTCTCTAGATGTTTCTTAATTTCCGTTTTTTCCAAATCTCTTCGACATTTCCGTCGCTATTCATCAATACATGTCCCCTCTAAAAGCTGCCTCGGCCCTCCTACACCGCGCATCAATGTACGTGTGAATGTCTTGTATTCATTCACTTATTGATCATTGCCTTCATCTCTTACACGGGGGCGTTTAAAATTTTTCGCTATTTATCCTGTTGGTATTTTCATAAAAAGTTATTGATAATTCACAATCAAGTTCAATGGTCACTGTCATATTATGCCAAAAAAATTGATGTCAATAGTTTTATTTTGAACGTGTTTTAAAACTGATCATCATTCGTTGAATATTTCCCGACTGCCTGAATGCACATTAACAATTAATATGCAGCCCTCCAAATACTTGAGTATCTCATTGAACAAACTCACCGACGCTCTATGGTTGGCCGATGAATGGCCGGCCGTCAGCCGGCGCTAACGCTGCCTCAATTTCCAGCTATTATAACCGGTTTCCTTGGCAACGCCGTTAATGATCTTACACTTTGATCCATATCATCGTTTTCTCATTTAAGTTTCACTAGAGAATAACATTAACAAAACTAATCTCTCTTGTATTCATCTTTTATTTAATTTAATTATGGGGAAAATTGTCTTCTGTGCCGATGATTCATAGCCATATGTTCTTTAAATCAAAATAAAATCTAACATTTTATGATTACTTTCATCCTCGATTCAGTAAGATTTTCTGGGCATTAAATTGCTAAGAAAATTAACTACATTTTCATTGGACAATTTTTTACATTTTTGGGGGATTTGTTTTTTCTCGGTTTGTTTGCTTTTTTGTTCTTTGCTACGTCCGCTCGTTGTTAGTAATGTCGGTTTGAAAGTACGTCATTATTGGACCATAACACGTTTATTTTTACGAAGGCATTATGGAAACTTTTATTTTTTGCATGTGATTTCAAAAGAAATAAATCTTCATAAAAAATATAATGTCTTTATATGTTTTGTTGTCAGAATGCCGAATTAAATAGTGGTGATTGGTAATATATGCACGTGATAATTGATGCACAATTATTTTGCTTGATTGTAATCGGCTGCTAATTTTACAATTCACGGAGTAATAACTTTTACAATAATATTATTTTACAATTCACGGAGTAATAACTTAATAATAATAGTCTTTTATTTATTCTTTGGTGACTTTATAACGAAGAATTTTTCTTCTCTTAGTCATTCATGAAACGTGCTTGCTTTCCGATTTCACATAAACTGTCAAAGTCTCAAACATGGGTTAAGGACACTTTTGAATATTGTCAACGCTGTGTTTCAAAGAAACACACACACGCGCGCCTCTTATCAACGCCATCAAATTACCCAGCTCACACAAACCTGCTTCACTGCAAAAACCAACTCAGGTAATTTGAATTATTACATAAATCAACTTTAAATTTCATTATTAAATATTTTCATCACAATGTGAAATTTCGGCGTCGTAAGCCATTCACGGGCTATAGCTCGTGTGCGTTTTCGAATCCTGGAACTACGAAAAGATGGGGGCTGTTCGCGTATCCTGGAATCCCGCGATCGAAACAGCCGCGGGATTCTCCCAAATGAATCGTTTTAGAGATTAGCTTCTTCATAGCTTCAAAGGTCCCTCAGTCATATTTCTTGAGAAAAGTCGGGTTTAATATGAAAGCCAATGTATCTCGATTATTTAATTATAGCTGTTGTGGTTCAAAGGCGATATTTTAATCATTATCCTGTATGAGTGACTACATAACCCTTATAATTTGACTTGAATAATGGACTTAGTTAATAAATTTTTTTCTTGCCAAAAGTATCAGCGGATACGAGGCTTGTCAAGGCCAAGGCCTCAGTGAAACGATACACTTAATTTCGGTTTTCGAGCCTTGACATTTTCAATTTAATGGAAAATGACAGTTTTTCCCACAGAGCAACAACGAGGTAGATTTTTTAGTAACTGATAATTGCGAAGTTGAAAATACATGTAGTTGCTGCGAGGTTGTCGTATATAGATTAAGTGTCAAAGTCTTACTTATTACCATTTATAATTGTTATTATTATAGCTCCCTGTTCCCACTTGATGTGCCTATACTTCTTGTGTGTACTTACATAAGTAATATTATGATGATCTCTTACTTTAAGATGCCCTTTTAACATGTACTGTGTACTTTTAAGCCCCTGCTACTTGAAGGTTACTTTGTGCAACACCAAGGCTCATTGACTCCCTAAGTTCTCCACATGGCTTTAGGTCAGCGCTGCGTCTCATATGGTACTATCATAAATAATGAGGATGGGGAATAGGAAAAACGCGTGAAAAAGAGTGAAAAACCACTCCTCTCAATTAAAAAATCTGAACGATTCAGATTTACCACAGAGTGATATTCAAATTCGCCACAGGGGGAAAATAACATATAAAATAAGATATAAAAAATTAACATGTGTGTTACTTTATACCATAATTCAATTTAATTTTATTTTATTAATTTTTTTTATTTTTTCTTCTTGAGTAAGAAGCTATGCAGGAATTATAACTTTAATAATAAAAGGAAATGTAACAAAATATTAATTATATTGATTGTGTTTATTAATCCTCTGCTAGATGCTTAAAGGAGACTGACGATTTTACCAAAAATTACGTTTGAAGGATTACAATAGTTACCGCCAACAGCAGAATTCCTTCCATGTGTGTAGTTGAAATCTTCATCATGATGTCATCATACTGATTGAAGAAACTATAATTTTTGTAGTGTGCCCTTATTATAAAGGGTACATTTCAAGACTAAAATATTTTAGACAGACTTAATTTATTCGAATACAATGAGTCCCTGCATTATCTAAATTAACTGAAAAGGGGAACCATTTAAATCAATTAACAAGTTTCCACGTATAACGCGTAAGCTTTAGTGGATGTAGGTGAGAAGCTCACATCAATGTGAGGAAAATCGGTCAAATTCAACATTTATGACAAACGTCACGCTGTAACGACCGTTTCCTAAATTGAATCAGGGAAGTTAAGCAATTAAGACGCTGGTGCTAATCTTCAATACCTTGTGTTTTATATTTTTTAGAATTATAACAATAATAATTGGATTTCAAGTTACGAATAAAACCTGTTTCTACTTCGCCAGTGTTGACCTCAACCTCCCATCTTGTTTTTCTTTCCCTAGCGTCGTACGGTTAACTATAATCACTTCAAGCAAGATTAATCACAAAAAAAATTTGTTGTTAATATAATCTAATGATCATATCCCTGATCTAGACTTCAGCTCACTAAGTTTATGTTTCATCTCTGAAATCTTATTGCATCTGTTGGATTTAAATTGCCTAGCTTACATATTGAACGATGTTCCATGAGGTTGTTCTACGATGTATTTTTGGTAACCTTGTTCCATCAGGATGATTTATGTTGCATCTAGGTGATCATTTATCATGGTGATTGGGAGTTCGTCTAGTGGGCATGCATCATTATGAGCAGAGACATCATCGTTGAAATGATCACGTTGATGATGACGGTTTTATTAACGAACGAAATAACGTCATGTATTAATGGATGACCTTCAGGATCCTCCGTGCGTAGGTTCCTTCCTTAACGAACTCTGTGTGATTACATTTAAGTAAACTATATCAAACAATATGTATAAACTACGATACTTAACCTACGTGAAATTATACCTTGGAATAAATGTGTATATTAGACCAGACTTTTCCTACTCCTGGCCTCACATTAGACATTTTCGTAGTGAACCATTCACATCTACAACGATACAATCGTTCGTATGTTTGCTCTGATAATTTTAATTCTTATCATGACTAATTTTCGTCTCAACTAACGCTCTTGTCAGTCGCGCGATAGCTGCGGTACATCTTGTAACTGACACGATATCAACTAAAGAATTAAGGGGACCGGCTACCCTCCGTAAAAACTTCTACAATTATTATCCGATCATCGTGAAACTTCACATAGAAACGTAAAATATAAAAAAAATAACATTTTGCTCCTATAAATTTTTCAAAAAAATTGATAGAAAACGTGATATTCATAGAAAACGGCCAAAAACGGGTACTATAGAAAATCTATCTCCTCCTACAAATATCGTCCTACAACATCGAGACACGTATCATTCGATTCGTAAAGACCATACCTATCGACCAACCCATCACTTTTTTCATTTTCCCCATAGTTTTTT